CCTCTAGGTCCCCCCCTCCTCTAGGTCCCCACCTCACCACCCCTTTTCTATTGCAGCTCTGTTGGGAAGGAGCGTGGCCGCAAATCGTGGAGGCAGCACGGAGGGGGCAGATAAAGCCATGGGGGGGGTCCCTGCTGACCCCCTCCCCGCCACCCATCACCACGGGCTGTGTTTGGGGGTCTAGGGGCTGTCATGTGTGCCCCCCTCCCCCCCCCCACTGTCCCCAATTGATGCACTGTGTGATGCTGCTGCACTGCTGTAGATGCAATAAAGTCACCGCTGGGCTGAGCTGTGCCTGGTGGGAGGGGAGAAAAATGGCTTGGAGGGGGGGAGGGAGGAGATGTCGAGGGTGTTGGGGAGGTGCTATGGGGGAGCTGTGGGGGAAAGGGTGATGCTGGCGGTTGGGGAAGGGGATGCTGGGGGGTCTCCGGGCTGAACGGGGGGCAGTGAGGGTGTGGGAGTGGCGGCGTCCCCCGGAATTGCAGTGCCAACCGCCCACCAGCAGGGGGCGCTACTACGCGGTGGGGGCGGAGCCAATCTTAGCCCCGCCCCCCTCCCGGACCGGGCCGTACCACTGCGTACCCACGGGGGGGGGTCGGGGCGGGGCGGTTCTCCCCACGCATTGGAGCGGAGCGGGGCGGGTCCGGGTGGTGCGGGGGGGCGGGGATGGGAGGGGCGGGGATGGGGGACCCCCGTGCTGTGCTGCTGCTGAGCGGCAAAAGGAAATCGGGGAAAGATTTCGTGGCGGCGGAGATCCAGAAGCGGTACGGGGGTGGGGGGAGGGGGAGCGCGGATGGGGAGGGGGATGGGGACCGGGATACCGGGGGGATTTGAGGTGGGGAGGGGGAGGGGAAGGGGGCGGGATCGTTGTCGTGCCGCTGATCGTTCGTTTGTAGGTTGGGTTCCGACGTGTGCACCGTGCTGCGCCTGTCCGGACCGCTGAAGGAGCGATACGCGCAGGTACGGCTGTGCCACGTGGGTTCTGTGCCATGCTGTGCCATGCCACGATCTGCTGTGCCGTGCCATGCCATGATCTACCATGCTGTGCCGTGTTCTGTGCCATGCTGTGCCATGCCACGACCTGCTGTGCCATGCCATGATCTCCCATGCTGTGCCGTGTTCTGTGCCATGCTGTGCCACGCCATGATCTCCCATGCTCTGCTACATCCTGTGCCATGCTGTGCCATGCCATGATCTGCTGTGCCATGCCATGCCATGATCTACCATGCTGTACTGTTTTCTGTGCCATCCTGTGCCGTGCCATGCCATGATCTCGCATGCTCTGCTCCATCCTGTGCCATGCTGTGCCATGCCATGATCTCTCATGCTGTGCTGTGTTCTGTGCCATGCTGTGCCATGCCATGATCTAGCATGTTGCACTATGTTGTGCTGTGCTGTGCCATGATCTACCACGCTGTGCCATGTTCTGTGCCATGCCATGATCTGCTGTGCCATGCCATGCCATGATCTCCCATGCTGTGCCATTTTCTGTGCCATGCTGTGCCGTGCCATGATCTACCATGCCATGATCTGCCAAGCTTTGCTTTGTTCTGTGTCATACCATGCCATGATCTACTGTGCTGTGCTATGTTGTGCTCTACTGTGCCGTGCCATGATCTGCCATGCTCTATTCTCTGTGCCACGTTGTGCCATGCCATGATGTACCGTGCTGTGCTATGCCATACCATGATCTACCAAGCTGTGCAGTGTTCTGTGCCATGCCCTGTGCCATGATCTGCTGTGCCATGATCTGCTGTGCCATGACCTCTCATGCCGTGCTGTACCATGATCTGCCATGCTCTGCTACATCCTGTGCCATGCTGTGCCATGCCATGATCTCTCATGCTGTGCTGTGTTCTGTGCCATGCTGTGCCATGCCATGATCTGCCATGCTCTGCTACATCCTGTGCCATGCTGTGCCATGCCATGATCTCTCATGCTGTGCTGTGTTCTATGCCATGCTGTGCTATGCCATGCTGTGCTATGCCATGCCGTACCATGATCTACCACACTGTGCTACATCCTGTGCCATGCTGTGCCATGCCATGACCTCCCATGCCATGCCGTGCCATGATCTGCCATGCTCTGCTCTATCCTGTGCCATGCTGTGCCATGCCATGATCTGCCATGCTCTGCTACACCCTGTGCCATGCTGTGCCATGCCATGATCTCCCATGCTCTGCTACACCCTGTGCCATGCCATGCCGTGCCATGATCTACCACACTGTGCTCCATCCTGTGCCATGCTGTGCCATGCCGTGATCTGCCATGCTCTGCTACACCCTGTGCCATGCTGTGCCATGCCATGATCTCTCATGCTGTGCTGTGTTCTGTGCCATGCTGTGCCATGCCATGATCTCCCGTTCTGTGCCATGCCACGTCACCCGTGCTCTGCTATGTTGTGCTGTGCCGAGCCGTGTCACGCTGTGCCCCACACCATTCCCTACCCCACGCCGTTCCCCGTGCCCCTCTCACATCCTCTCCCTGCAGGAGCACGGCCTTGATTTCCAACGGCTCCTGGATGCCAGTGCCTACAAGGAGCAGTACAGGCAGGACATGATCCGCTGGGGCGAGGAGAAGCGCCGCGCCGACCCCGGATTCTTCTGCCGCACCGCGGTGCAGGGCGCAGCACAGCCGGTGTGGGTGAGCAGGGATGGGTATGGGGGGCTCGGGGGGGGGCTCGGGGTGGGTGCTGACACTGGGGGTGTGTGCAGGTGGTGAGTGACACGCGGCGCCTCTCGGATGTGGAGTGGTTCCGGGATGCCTACGGGGACGCGGTGCTGACCGTGCGTGTGACGGCCACCGAGGAGACGAGGAGGAGGAGGAGTTGGGTCTTTGTGGCGGGTGAGCGAGAGCTGCTTCCTGCTGTGCACCAGAGCCACCAGCATGGCTGGCACCACAGTGCCCTGTGGCATGGCTGTCCCCTGTCCCTATAGCCGTCCCCTGCCCCTATAGCCATCCCCTGTCCCTATAGCCATTCCCTATCCCCTCTGCCATCCCATCCCTACAGCCATCCCCTGTCCCTATAGCCATCCCCTGTCCCTATAGTCATTCCCTATCCCCTCTGCCATCCCATCCCTACAGCCATCCCCTGTCCCTATAGCCATC